GGAAGACGAAGTAGCCTCCCACCTGGCCCAGGGAAACAGATAGCAACCTCGAGCGGCGTGCGCTTGGCCACAAAGTGCCCGGGATGGTTGCTTTTGATTTAGGGTATGCGGAGCTCCTTCGGAGAGGAAGGCAGGGGGTTCATCTGCAGTGAGTTGCAAAGGTGGAGGCTGCGCTATGCCGGAGCATCCCCGAATAGCATTAAACTGTTTCATGGATCAGTGTCATGATGACGTATGACACACCACAAGGGATCATTATGAGTGACTGGCATAATAGACATGGATAGTGGACCAAAGTCTCCTTGACAATTCCTCGTCGTATGTCTTGGGGGGATAATTTTACATTCCTGATCCGTTTATTTGGAGCCAATTCCGGGAGAAAGACACACGAAGCACACGACCGAATCATTCTAAGTAGGATGAAGACGGGCTTACCCGGCACAAAGGATTGCGGGGGAATTCTGAAGAGGTCACCAGTTTAGGTACAAAGCACTTGGCAAAACACCTGCTCCGCCTAATTAAGCAGGACGCCCCTGCTTCCCTACAGCCAGCCCGGGGAAGCGAGGGCTCAGCCGCGCCGCACCGAGCGCGCCCCCGCGCTCCCCCGCGCGTCCCCGCGGGGCCCCTGGGTCTCGGCGCGCCCCCGACGCCCCTTGTTAGGGCAGGGGGCCACGGGCGCGGCCCCGTGTCCCGCTCCCCACACGTGGGCCCCGGGACGGGAGCGCAGCCCCCGGCTCCGCTCCGCCGCCGGGGGTGAGGTTGGAGAAGGGCAGCGCCGCCGTGCCTCGGGGCGGAGGGGCAGGAGAAGATACGCGTCCGGCGAAGGCACTAAACCCTGAGAGACCTGCACCGGCATCTCTCCTTGCTCCTCATTGCGTTAGGGCTGCGGGTTTCCTTTTTTTAAAAATTATTATTATTATTATTATTATTATTATTATTATTATTATTATTATTATTATTATTATTATTATCCCGGCTCCGGCTGGAAGTTTGGGCTTCTTTTCCTTCTCCCCTGGTTGTCCCCAGGGCTGTGCCCCTCTCCGCAGGTGTCCCGAGCAGGGAAAGAGGGCCCATGAACACCCCGAAACCCTCCTGGGCTGGCTGGGGCTGTGCCATGGGAACATCTGCGATCTCCAACAGCATCCAGAGGCGGCATTTATCCCGCCAGCAGCTGGATGAAAAGATGCAGCCCCGAAACGAGGAAGGAAACCACCTTTCAACCTGACACCGAAAAAAAACCCACCACCCAAACCACCCAAAAAAACCCAATCCCGACACCCAAGCTCTGCTGGTCCAGATGTTGCAAGAAGTTCACTAAACGTGTGAGCAGGTAACACAGGGAACAGCGACATTGTTAACAGAAAACATCTAATTAACAATGACTTCATTTGATTGGGAGGATGAAAAAGCCTTTTTAAATCAATCCAGATTTACTGGCCTAAGCGCAGCCAATTTATGAATATGGAGGCTGTATTGAGTCTGCCTTCTTTCAAGATGTCATCCGAGGGGTAATAGTATAGGTGAAGTCATTTAGTTACACTGTGGAAACTTTTATAGTCCCTTTCTTGGGAATTTAATTCAGTGCTTCTTCATTTTATTAGGAACAGACTGACTCCATCAACGGCGCTCTCCATGTTTAGAGGCATGACTGCTTGAAGCAATTAGGCTCCCCAATTAGCATACTTCTCCTGACCCCAGCAGCACCACCAGGTCCTTACATTATCCATCTCTTCAAAGTAAGGGAGAGCCGGAATAAAACATGCCTCCCAAGTGTCCAGGGTGGTGAAACCAACACGCAAAACGGGCTACCAAAATTACCTCTTTGCCCTTCAGGGGGCGAGAAAATAAAACCCTCCTAATAGCACCCCGACAGACAGCAGCTCGGGCTGTCCCCGCTCCAGCCGCCCCCTCCCTCGTCTGTCTGTCCGTCCGCCCGTCCGTCCTGGGGCTGTTCCTTGCGTTTTTGCGCGGATTTCCAGAGCCTTGCTGGCCGACGCCTGCCCGTGTCGGCCCTCGGCTCTGCGGGGAGCTCCTGGGAGCCACCGAGGCTGCCTTGCGCCGCCGGCACCGGGAGACCTCTCTTCTGGGCCCCCCACATCCCGAGGGAAAGTCAGGCGCCGGCCCCGTCCCTCTGTCCCTTTGGGCACCGGGGGACTTTTAATCTCGCCACCCTGCCCCTACTCTGGGCTGAAAACGGGGGGTCGGGATCCGACCCCGGCTGCGGGGCCCGATGCTGTGCAGCCCCCGGGGCTCCGAGCAGCCTCCCCCTTCCCGGCCCCAGGAGCCGGTGTCAGCCACCTGCCCATCGCGGGCAAAAGGGCTCCTTCTATTTTTTATTCCTTTTCTTTCCCCCATTTTCCCCCCAGTCCTACTGAAAACCCACGGAGGAGACCCGGGGAGCCAGCGCGCGGCAGATAGAGCCATCCGCCCAGAGCTTCACAGCACTATGGAAGAAAAATCTCTATAAAACGAAATAGGCAATCAACTGAAATCTATCCTCTTTAAATAAACTGATTCCTTAGTATTTTCCCAGTGTTGCTGTAAGTTGTTGTCTGTGATGTCCCCCAGGGCTCTTTCCTCTGCTCTCTGATTTGGTGTATAAAAGCAGCTCTGAATGATGGATTACTGTGTCATTGCAGCCTGCGAAGGATTAATTTGTTTCATTGATTTCTCTTTAGGCAGATTGCCAGAATTCTCTGCTTCCCACCTTTCCCCGGGACTTCCAGCAGTAATAGACAGTAATAGCCTAAGACAAATCAGCCCATTCTTGTAAAAATAGAAACGCAAAATCCTGAAGTCCCAGGAAAGCCATAAAGTTTTTTTTTTTTTTTTTTCTTTTCCCCTTGTTGTGCTGCAAAACCACTGCTTCTGAAGCCAAGTCCACCTTCCTTCGTTCCCCTTTTCCCCTTTTTATAAAAAGGGTTGCGGGGTCCTTCGGAGGGGGCTGCTTAGCTCCAACAGCGATTTCCACAGGCAGCTGCATGCGAACGACGGGCATTTGACAGTCGCGGCGAAACGTTTTGTTCGTGCCCAGCAGCAGGGGTGGGAGTCGCAGAAGGACGGAGTAGAGCTCACAGTCCATTTTTTTCTCAGAATCCCGGGGCCGCCTATAGCTAACCTATTGCCGGCCAGTCGGGGGGGGACCGAGGTTTGTACCAGGTCTGGTACGAGTTTTGGGGACCGGGCTCTCCCCAATTCCTCTGCGTCCCATCCGGATAAATTTTTCGGGATCTCAGGCCTCGGCACATTGGGGGGGGGGGCGGGGGACAGCCGGCTCCTTTCCCCCACAGGCTGCGGAGGGGCCAGAGGGTCCGAGGGAAGCCCTGGGCACCGCGCCCCTTACCCTTTTTCTGCCCGCCCCTCGCCCAGCGAGGACACGGGTCAGCTGTGCTGATCCATTGGCTTGCCCCACGCCGCGCTAAAATTGTATTGATTTAGGCTTCCCACGTTAAACTCTGGAGGTAATTAGTCCCGTGGTGAAAAGTAGTGTTGTCATGTGCTGATGTCCTTCCAGTCGGGGCTTGTGCAGGGCTGTGCCATGCCAAAACAGCCCTTTTGGATAGCACCGGCAGCAGAGAGGCATTTATTTCACCTCTATCTACCTCGTGAGGAGAGTAGCTCAGTAGCTACTTTCAAAGGGACACAAAATTTATCGTACTGGATAGCACAGATCCATTCAAACATTTCAAGCCTAGGAAATTTGGAACTTGCAGACCTATATATATATATATATATATATACACACATATATACATGCATATATATATATATATATATATATATATGCATGTATATATACAAATATATATATATATATATATATATTTTTTTTTTTCCTGCTCTCCAGGAGGATGTTAGCCTGCTACTTCCTATTTTAATTTACTGTAGTTTCGGGTTGAATCTAAATACCAGTACTTGGGTCACAGCATGATTTCCTTGATGTAGTGCCAGAAAATACTCCTTGCCCTGCCTGAGCAATGTTCTTATATTTACTCGCATGAGTCCCTCTGTGGTGTGCAAAGTCTAACTTTTCCCTTCTCCACCTAGTGTAGTTTTGGAAGGAATTATAATGGGAGTCATAAAGTCATAAAGAGGGTTGTGGGTGCGTTTTGGGAAATCCCTAGAAATCACTATGTTGTCTGGAGAAATGATATGGTGTGGGTTAGCCTGCAGTAAGACTGGAGGGAGAGCTGGTGTCCTGGGGAATGCTGTGAGCTTCCCTCCAGAGGTGCCTCTGGAATAACAGGGTTGCTCTGCTCAGCCACAGCACAGACTGGCTCTGCCTGGCATCCCAGATCCTGATGGCTTATCACTGTCAGGCCACCTGAAAAGGAAAGGCACAAATGCAACAGTTCATGCTTTTCCTATTCTGATAGCCAAGCCCCAGGGAGATTTGGCTCTGAACGCAGGGCTCGTCTTGCTTGGGAGCAAATGCCCCCATCCGCTCTGCCCCTTCCAATCCTCTCCAAGCTTAGGCAAAGGGAATCCTGCTCCTTTGCTAGGCACCAAGGAAAGTTATACTCTTGGCAAAAAATGGTAACAATATTCTTGGCTTCGAAAGCCTCAGTTAGGAGCAGAGACAGATGTCCACCCCCATCCCTCCCGTTTGCAATAAAACAGGCAGAATCCATCACAGACCAAACTTGAAAAGCTTAAGTGAAGCTCACATCCTTTCATCCCTGCAGGACTGGAGAGAAACAGAGTCTGTTAGATTAGCAAACATTAACCTCTCGCATAGTTCTGGATGTAGGATTAATGTCTACTGAAGGGACAGCTGTATGACCCTCACACATACACTAACTATACATTAGGGCTGTCACTCTATCGATTGGGAGAACTTTGTGTGAAGAAGTGCTCCCCACCAGGGAACAAAACAGACTGGAGCTGGAAAAAGCGATTTGTGCTCTGCTAAGGCGCACTTCTAAAAACTCAGTTCCCATTTCTGGAGCCTGAGACGCAGATGAGCCGAAAGCCGCATGATTCACCCCAAGGTCCTGCCGGATGCAGACCACACACAACCTCCAGCTGCGACTCTGGGATCATCTCATCTCTGGGCAAAGCACGGATGCATGCCTGTGCTGGGTTTGAGACTGCCCACGTGAAGTTCTTGCCCCGGCAGGGTTCTCACCAGTGGTACAACACCAGCGTAGCCATTCCCATCTAGGTCACTTGGAAGAGTCTTGTTTTTCTCCATCATTTTCCATCTGTACCCTCTTATCCATGAGAAAGAAGAAATGTGGGTGAATAGTAAGTTTTCCAAGCCCTCTTCCCACTAAAATAGGAAAATTTTGTGCTGTGAAAACACAGGTTGATTGTTTCCTACGGCTCGCTGGACTAGGTACAAACACGGGGCTTGACTCCAGTCACACCCTGTTTTCATGTTAGTCCAACTGCTCTCATAGCACAGGAATTCCACAGATGTACCAGGGAGTTCAGTGCCTGTCTGAAAACAGACTTATTTCAGTTACATAAATGAAAATAAATGCTTATTGTTGAAGGTTGTTTATTAAATGTTAATGGTTTATTGGAGTTAGATCCACACAAATATTTGGATGTCAAATATTGAGCCTTCCAGCCCCTGATGATAGGAGAAATGACGGTGCTGTGGGCTCCCAAGCACCCTGTAGGAAGAAAAGAGAGAGGTACACTACCAAAAATATTAAACTTTAGTTAATTATCCCTCTGGGCCTCATCTGGAGCTGGAGAGAAAGGTCCTGTGGGCAAGGTCCTGTGGGCAAGGTCCTGTGGGCAAGGTCCTGTGGGCAAGAGTATCTAGGGGGCCTAGTGTGGGTGCAGTAAGTTACATAATCAGGCTGAAGCTGTGTAGGCTGGACCCAGACACAAATCACCCTGAGAGCATGAGGAAACATGAGAGTTTACCTGATTTGAGCTTGGGCAAAGAGGGAGAGGGCAACGTGGAGCCCAGTCCCTCCAGGCAGAGAGAGCAGATGGACCACAGCTTGCAATGCCCAAGACTGCAGGGCATTAAATGGCAGAAAACCAGCTCCTGCTGGGTAATTGCAAGAACAGGCATGTGGTGGGATCCCAGATCCATGAGTCCAGGTCCAGACACCTGGACCAGGGTAAGCTGGAAAACTCAGCAGCTGAGCTGAATCTGGCCATGACCTGTGCACCCACCACAGGGCAGGAGGGGTTTGTGGTCCTGCGTGCACAAGGGCTGCCTGGTGTGGAAGTGTCTGGCAGCAGATATCTGACCCAGAAGCTCGTACTGGAGCTGTCTAGTACTAGAGATCCGCTGCCCGATCTGGGAAGGTGATGCACCAGGAGCCGTGATATATGCCGTGGTGCAGAGCAAGAGGTGGAATAGTGGGAACCCATCAAACTGTGAACCAGTCAGGAATTATCCACCAAGACAATTTCCAAAGGAAATGCCAATTTGACAGGAGAACATTTCAGAAAAATATATCAATTTCATCAGCTCTTTAAACAGGGAAACATCAAAATGCTTTGTTACAGCACTCCTGAAATATTTTCCATCACTTCAAGTTCACATTAATAACAGAAGCAACACACAGGGAAAAGAAGCTGCTTTAAATCCCAGTCTTCCAGTCAGGTTAAAACAACAGATTTTGGCTGCATTTATTAGTCCTTTCTGACACATTGCTAGAGTCTCAGGCTTTGCTCCGAGCTGCTGCAGTGCTGAGACCCTGACATTGTGGAAGAATGCAAGCATTGGCTGTGGCTGGCCCAAATCGACAGGTATGGGGAAAAACAAACCCCGGGGGGAAGAGAAACAAAGCTGTCCTCTCTGATGGGCACAGTGGGGAGTCGCGCCTTGCTAAGCCCGGATCCATCTCCTTATATACTTTGTATAAGACAATTACTAGGCGCTGGGCCCAACTTCTGGATAGCATTAAGGAGAGGATCCTGACTGAAAAGGTAAACATTCAGTCAGACCTCTGACACAGTTTATTTTTGGTGTATCCAACTGCTGGGAGTAGTTTTTTTTTTTCATTTCTGAGGGCTATGTGTTCACCGCCTTACGTGTGGGCAGGCAGGGAGTGGCCGGGTACGTGCCAGAGCAGAGACCTCAGCTCCAGAGGTTCGAGATCCTTCGGGGAACCTCAGCCCCTTTGCTATTGGCTCACCTCTGAGAAACTAAGTTCAAGTGGCCAGATGAAGGGTTGGAAAAATAAATAAAAAATAAGTTCGTTGTGGCGCAGACACAGGCCCCAAAACCGTGCACGGTTACTTCCCCAGAACTGTGTTCTCCCAGTAATGAATTTGATATTTTCATCAAAGCAGACAAAGATAAGCAACAGCTGGTATGCTGTGGGTGTCTCAAAAGTCTGCTGAGGTTTAATTACAACTTTCCCAGGAATTTATTTGTTTTTAATTCACCTAGAAATTCAAAGTTGCTTAATGTATGAAATGGCATTCAAGAGGTTAATGCTCACACACTCCTCGGCAGTATTTAGAAAGGAAGTATGGTCTCTTGCCCACCCATTAACCTCTGCTATTATGGGGCTTTTATACCAGCAGCAGTAAAATTCACCTCCCCGTTGTATGTCTTCTTATATCGAAGATCAAAGTCCTGTAGTTTGCAAAAACATGGAAAGTATAGCATAATTAAATCTATTTGTTTAGTTAGAACTCAGTGTTTAATGAATAACAAATTTCTGCTTGTCCACAAAGGGCATGAATGAAACCACCAAATGAATTAGCAGGGATTTCTTGTTTTAGGTTTTACAGCTGTCACTGTATTGATACTTCATTTTTCCTGAGTGAGTAAAAAGTTAAAAGTACATGGCTTACTCTACAAGTGCCTCATTACTATGATCACAGGCAATGCATTAAAAATGGTGGGATCCCACATAACTCCAGTGCTTTACATAGCTATTAAAATTAGCTGCACCAGCCATTTCTTTCAGTTTGCACTGTGTTAAACCTCCTTAAAGAAATGTGGCTCTGTCTCTAAGCAGCTTTTCAGCTTTACTATATTTCAGGATACCAGGAAGACTGTCTCTAGTAAACCATGTATCTGTTTTGCTGGAGAGCGTGGCTGTGGGAGGGAGGTACAGAAGTCTCATCCTAAAATCTACTGATTTTTAATGTGACAGACACAAGATTTCTGCACAAGCTGGAGATTGGAAAATAGCTCCCGCTGGATATCCTTTCCCACAGAGCTCAACATGAACTTTGTTGACCGATGCTTATGGTGCCCCTTCAGCTAGACATTGACAGTGGTTTTAGTTGGAGAAAGTTCTGGACGTAAATGCAGTAAATACTGCATAATTGACTAAAGCTACATTTTGACCTTGTGCATTTTATTTGTTTGTGCATTCCATGCCCACTTTTGAAATGACAGTAGCAGGAATAAAGGAATAAATAATATTAGAAATTAACTATGATACTTCTCTATCAAAATCAACTGTTTGTCTTATTTTTTTCTTTTCTTTTTTTTTTTTCCTTCCCTGCTGGTGGTGGATTTTCCCTAGCATTTGAATAGTGAAGTCAGAAGTATTTCAATGTTTTATTCACCTTTCATCATTTACCTCATCCTAGTTAACACAGAAAAATTATCTCTTCACTTTTGCCATTTCGGTTTTCAAATTTCCTTTCTCATTTACCGACACAAGGGCACCCTGTTTGGTCCGGGAATATTTGTAGATTTAAGTTCAGAATGCTGTGTTTTCTTTGGCAATAAAAAGATGTCACAGGACGTGAGCTTTGCAACTGGTTACGCTTCAATTGTAGTTTACATTTGACTTGATATTGTCCCTTTGAAATAACAACAGCTTCAGAGAAGGTGTAAAATGCAGGCAGTGATCCCTTGCCATTATTATGAAATAGCAGGAGGATGCCTGTAACAGTAGGAGCAGTGTCCTGGCTATGTTCCAGTTTGGCTAACTGCATCCTGTTTTTCTAAATTCAGGTTTATTTGGGAGCCTGATCCGAAGCACCCCAAAATAGCTGTTTTCCCATTGCCACGTTCTAGTCCCAGACTGGTTGTACTCCACTCTGAGGTGAAACTGTGTGGAGAAATGAATTAAAAAATGTTGCTTTAAATGGGAGAGTCTGGACCTCACATCTGGATTGCAGATAGAGGGCCAGCAAAATGCTTAAAATCCTGTCTAAAGTATCAACAACGCTCTTGTAGAGATATATTCTAAAATTAACTTTATTGCTTGACATTTGTATCTTCCCTATCTTACATACTACCCCATACCATGTAAAAGAAAATTGAAACAGCATAAATACAAATGAAAACAAGAGGCAGAAATCTGCTAATTGACCTACTCTGTACATAGGGGAAAATGTTGAGAATAAAATCACAACACCGTCTGATTCGATTGTCAGGATGTCGAAAGCATAGGATAGTATAAGATAACAATAAGTGCGATAGTGAACAATGAGTTAAAATTTCAATGAGAAACCATGTATGAGAGAGATACACAAGCAAAGGACTTTCTGTTTAATGCTAGCTGTGCGTTTTAAAAGTTTTGTTTTGCAGCAAAAGTCTGAAAAAAGAAACTAAACATTAAAAAAATCTGTACTTTTGCATGTAATTAGCACATATTAAAGCTGCAACTTCCGCACAATTTCAGATTTTAGAGTCGTTGTTTCTCATTTCCAGATCTATCTAGAACTATCTACCCATTTTTACCAGATTACTGGTAAAAATACAGAGTTAGAGGTCACATCTTAATAGATAATCATACATTGTAAGATGCTTCTCAGCTGAAGAAAGAGTGTAAAGCAGTTGCTCTTTAGCAGATGCCATGCTATATGAATTATGTCATTTCCATAGTTATAAAACAACTCAAGAAAATGTACTGTAACAATACAATATATGCTCGGATTGATTACCCCAAAAATCCTTTCAAGGGGAAAAACAGGGGTGGTGGTGATGGGCTGGGGAGATAAAAAACATTTCTATCCAAGCTTCACATCCTAAAGGTTTAGCTTCTGTGGAGAAAAGTCTGACAGTCATTTGTTACATGCAGTGGTCACTCCGTTTGTGTATTCATTATGTGCATTAAACAGTCAAATATATTCCTTCCAGTAAATATGAATAGTTTAATTTGTTCTGCCAAAAGTGAGACAACTATCAGAAATAGCAATAAAAGTCACATAATGAAATAAGAATACTAGAAAATCCGAGAATTTTAGTACGGTCCATTATTCATTCAATTCCTGGCAGCCTTTATGATTACAAATCACTTGATTGACTAACTAGACATTCTCAAAGTGAATTATGAATCAGGTTCATTTTTCCTGGTTGAGAGTTGGTACATGTTGTAACTCTTCCACTTTGTGATATATCAAGTTCTTGTAACAGTAATAAGAGATATAATCAACTCTTTATTTCAGGACAAATAAATTGCCTTTTCAAAAATGAAATGTTGTTGCTAACATTTTAACAATGTGCAATGTAATTCCTTCCTGCTATTCTCAGAGTGCAATCTGCTGTGATGACATAGCTTTGGAGTGTTTGACTTTGCTGAAATTATTGTAAGGGTCTCACACCCTCAGTCAGTGCACGTTGACCTCAGTGAAAATTCAGTGCTGCCACTAAGGGCAGCAAGTGGTCCTTGTCCTGGTGGACAACAAGCCTCAGACACAAACACAGTGGACCACAATTTGCCCTTTTGTGACTGGCTCTGATTTGGGCTTGGGAATGTGGACAAGTTTTAAAGCTGTTTAAGTTTACTTTGAAAAAAGCAAAATGAATCTCTTCTAAAGCGTGCTTGACCCTCAAGTCCTTTTGCATGAAAAACTCCCTCAGGCTTTTGTAGAAATTATGCAAGTGGAATGATTGGCAGGCTGGGGTGGGAGTTATTTGTAGAACAAATGCACAATCAGATCCCAAATCCCTCTAGAATAGGTTTAGTGCGAGGAGCATTTCACCTTCGAATGGCTACAGGGAAACAAAACAGAAAAAAAAAAAGAGAAAAACAAAACAAAACAAAACAAACAAACAAACAAACAAAAAAATAGAATAAAAATAAAAGAAGACCAGACCAAGGCTGCTTGAAATCTGTGTGAGTGTCCAAGCTGAAAGCCACTACAGAAAGCCTTTATGCCTTGCATCTGCACGTCAGATGTAGCCATAACTGCTGGCTTGGCATTCCTGAGCATGGTGGCTTGGCGCTCATGTCCTGGCTAGCCAAGAAAATGAGGAGAAGTGGCCAGGGGATACAAGATGCATGACGGGGGGAAGGAAGGATGCATAACATCCCCGGGTACCCATGCTAGAGCAGTGCGTCTGGGTCCTGTGCAAAAACCTCCACACCATTCCCAGTTTTGCAGAGAGGAGAGGGTTTTTCTTTTGGTTAGGGAGAAGATCCTGGCATTTGGGTGCTTGTTTTGGCTCTGGTGAAGAGACAGGCTGATACTCAGTGCGCCCACAGTATTAATAGAGCAATTTCAAAGACTTTAATCCCCTCCCCTTCCCCTCCCAAGCACAAAAGCATGTTTCTAAAGCAGGATCTTGTGGGAGAAAAAAAGTATTACCATATTATTTTTCAGAAGACCTAAATGTGGTCATTCATTTTAGAAACAATGGGTAAAGACGTCAGATTTATTCCTTATTCATCTTTCTATCTCTTTTCTAATCTTCTAATAGCCTTAATTAAATGCTGAGTAGTTTAGAATATTATTAAATAGCTTTCATAGGATTTTTTTTTTAATTTCTGATTACATCATGAGTGCAGATTATTGAATATTCCATTCATTTTAAAATTATGATTAAGAGGATAATCCCAAAAAAGATGTTTGTAACAATTTTAACTAAGCTGTATTAATTGAGTTAGGGGATAAGAAATGAGATTTAAAGGGTGAGCAAGGGGTAAAATCAAAGCCCGCGTAATTTTAAAATCAAGTGGATTAAGAGGTTGGTTGGAACTGAAGAGGTGGCAGGTCAAAAACTGAACTAATGGTTCAAATTGAAAATTCACTTACTCTTGTGCCATCTGCCTGTTTTTCATGGAAATCATATGCAATGGGACCCTGCATTGTATGGTTAAACATGAAAGGGGAGATGTGCTTGTTATGGGTCAACAGGCTGCACACTACTCATCATCAGGTGAAGGTGTGCAGCACGAAGGGACATGGAGAAGCCTGCTCAAGTGTTACCCCCCACAATTGTGTTGTGTCTCTTGATGAATCTCTGGCATGTCTATGTTCCACAGCTTGACACCTTTTTCCAAAGTGATGAGTTGAGCAGCACTGACACCAAAGATTTTGATGCGTTTGGGTTAGGAATTTGAGCATGGAGCCTTCCAGCCTTCATTCTCATGCCCCTACATTTGTTTGAAATTCACTAGTTGTATCATAGCATGATTTTGCTAGGTTATTTCTCCTACTGTTATGAAATATTTGTCGGGGATTGATTCACTGTAGGTTTTCTGGTGGCCACTCTCTTGGTGGCCATCTTTCTCCTCACCACACAGAGAGCTTTACATGAGGTGTTCTACCTCCCCACTTCTTGCGACAGGGACAGAGCTCTAAGATATTTGGAAGAGGCAGGGAAGATATTTTTACTTGTGTTCCTTAAACTCTGCATGAGTAACTGGAGACATTCACAGACTGGAGGAATTTCTGTAGTCATCGGTAATTATGGAAATCACAGCACCCTTTACAGGTCTCCCATGGGGACATGAGAGCAAACCCGTGACTATAAATCTGAGACTGAGGAGAGGACAGACATGAAAGCAAGTGAAATACAAAGTGCAGAGCTATCAGGAAAGGCTGAACGAGGCTGGGTGCCCTTGTTTAAAAGATAGACAAAGACAACTTAACCCACAGCAATACTGTCAAAGACATTACCACGTGTGTATCACTTGCACACGAGTTCCCTACAGTTACACAAGTATCATTTAAGAGTGAAAGCTGTCTACATGACAGCCTTAGAAAAAGCAGAATGAATCAGCCCACAAACCATTGATACAGGGTGGATGGTACACGTTTCCTCTTCCTTGGGAACATTTACTGGTTTCACAAGTTTCATACTGGTTCAGGGTACAAAGAGGGATCTACGGATTCCAAAGGAGGTTGAGGAGAGGTCGGATGGGAGAAAGCAGCTCTTAAACCCTGGAGAGAAAAACATGAAATGAATTTAGCCAAGAAGAATAAAATACTGTGATGAGTGATGGAAGCATTAGTTTGTAGGCTCAGTTATGTAGGCTGGGATTTAATCTGTTTAGATCTTTTTCTTCCAAGCTCAACAGCTTTAATTATTTTTACAAAGAAAAAAAATCAATACATCCTTACACACTATTAATAAAAAAATCAAGTATCATTGATATTTGAAAACAGAAATCATAAAGAACATATTGCATTCACACCAACTACATACCAAGCAGAATGTTAATAACATTAACCTTTACTCTATCAGATATTTTCAAGAAATACCACTATATTTTTTGCAACGGCTCATATCTGTCATTTAACTGACATGTGATCTTTGCTAAGTTTGCCAAATCACTGAGGCCTGAATACCATTCAGCAATGTTAATTTTGTTTTCCTATTCCAGCCTTTACACAATTATTCTCATGGCAATCATTCTAGCCTTGAGTATAAATAATACTTCAAGTGGTTTGTTGATATCCAGAAAATGATGTGTATCTACATTAAGAGATTCTGGAATCTAATGGGAGAACCATGCATATTATTAAGCTGAAATGCCTATTTCTTTCCTCCCAGATGGGAAGTAGTACAGGGTAGTGCCATGGCATATGCATTAATTTTATTCCTTCCGCAAATTTTAGCACGTATTATTTTTGCAGTTTCTGAGTCTTTGCCTCCTACCAAATATCCAGGAGATTTAAATACGATTTTGCTGCAGAAAAGATCTCAATCTTAACTCTGAGGACCTTGAATAATTCTCAGGTGAGCGGAGGAAGAAGTTCTGTTCTGGAGAACAGGGAAAGAAATGGGACTTTGGTAGGAGGAATCCTTGAGGATTAACAAACTCAAAAAGAGAGACAGACAGTAATTTTCCTGGCTCCCATATTTCAGTCCTATAGATTGGGCATGCTTGTTCTGAAGGCCCTAGTAATGAGTACATTTAAGAGGAAGGAGGATAACAACCAAATTGTAACATGAAGGGTAAATCCCCAAATATGTCCATCAGTATTGTTACCCCATTAATATACACAAACAGCCTTCTATTTGAAAATCAGTCTCTAACATATTTCTTACTAAGCCTATGGGTTTCTTGCACATTATCTTCCACATTTTTTATTTCACATTACATGCTTTTCCATTTTTTTTCCCCAGTCCAGTGGGACTTTTTACTTCCTCAGGACCTGAGAACGGAGAAGGAGTACACTGCATTACATGTTGACTGTTTATGTGGGAGTGAGCTGTGTGGGAGCACTTCCTCTAGCAATTTATAGACACTCAAAAGGCCAAGTTTAAAATCAGGATTGTTGATGTTTACATTGTAGGGCCTCAGCTGGAAAGGCCGATGGTCCGAGGAGACAACAAGGCGGTACAAAATGAGGCTTGAGCTTACTTGATACCTTTTTTTTTTTTTTTCTTACTTGGTTCTGTACGTTGGACTTCCTAATCTCTAAAAATGCCTATGATCATTTTTAAGTTACACACATCTGCTCGTGTCTGTGGCTCTGAAAACCTGAGTCTAGAGCAGGTATTGACCTTCAGCTCTGGAAAGCAGCAGCCAAGTTCCTTTTCCCTCTCTGTAGGCTTTCTGGATGGAGAAACGTTTTTGTCCCCAGAACACACAAGGGTGTGCTGGTGTATGGGCACACACTGCATGGCTTGGGCAGCACATTCCTCAGCCAGACCGGCTCCAGCTACATAATGTTTTCTAAAAGCAGAGATCTGATGGCCAAAACACAGCAGTGCATACTCAGCTGCAAATCTACACATAAATTGATCTGTTCAGTATCTGTCCAATATGTCTTGGTTTTGATTCATCCCTCTTACAGTTAATAAATACCTCCAGGTCCTCTCTTTGCCCAGTAAGTAAATAGGAGCCCATGGCCAAAACAACTCTATCACAGACATCTCAAATACACCTGTCTCAGGTTGGTGCTATCACTAAATGGGACGAAGCCAGCCTTTATTTTGGCAGTCTTTTTTCTGTCTTTTTTTTTTTTTTTTTTTTTTTCTTTTTTCTTTTTCTTCCCATCAGCATAGATGCAATTTTTGTCAAGATGACTACTGTTGTGTCTGAATTCTTCTTTGTGCTCTTCCCAGCATTTGAGGCAGTGCTGCACTGCAGCATCACACCCTTCTCTGGAATGTTATTCTCTCAAGACTCCCATGGCACAGAGAGATGGGTAATGTTTTCTGAGCTTCTTCCACTATTACCACATTTTCTATAGAGGATCAAAATGGATTATTTTCATCTTCACATGCAAATGCCTAGGCTGTGCCCTTGGCTGAGATCTCAGCATTGACTACAAAAGTAAAAGATATGGGGGACGTAGCTTTTTAATATCACATATGGAAGTGGCAGTCTTATTTCTTACAGAAAAGAAAAAAAAATAAAACAAAAAAGAAAAGAAAAGGAAAGAGAAAGCAACCGTAGTCCTTTGTGCCTTATAAAAAGAAGCCTAATAAAAATATTTCCTCATGCACACACTGAATATTGTATTCGCGTGCAGTTGTCGGTCTGCACAAAGGCAGATGAACATTATGTGCAACTCAGGATCCTACTGTTGTACACTGATCTGCCCAGTTGCTGTGCCAAAGTATTGATGGGAAGAAAAGACACACATGAATAATTTTATCAAGTCAGATTACAAGCCTGAATACGAACGTTTACTAAGCAACCATATTAGATCAGAAGTAGGGTTTCTAAGGCTCATTGTGAAATGCTCATAAAGCTAAAAAGGTCAAATTCTTCACCAATTTTCACTTCGTACAACAGCAGTCAAGTAAGTGAAATAAGACGGCCTGCAGATCAGTGCAGGATACAACCTGCACAATACGTTGATATGCAGTAAAGGCCATTGCGCGGTTTCATGTTAACATGAAAGAAATGATATCTGACCACAAGAACACCAACACTGACTCACTGTTTCTAATTATTATTTTATATATATATATAATTATTTTTTTTTCTGAAACAACAACAGTGACAAAACAACATCAAGCATTTGCCTCCTGGCTAGCATTCTCAGCAAACCCTCATGACTATTGACTCAAACGAGCAGCCCAGCAAGTAAGTTGTTAGCTTAAATGAAAATTATAGCAGAGACAAAAATGCCAGCCTGGGAACTGAACTAATAAGGGAAAGAATGTGCATGCAGCTGCCGGCACAGTTTTAAACCTCAGGAAGAATAAAGGAAAGCACAGCTACTGAAATTAACCCACCAGGTCGACAAAGAAACCCCGTCTTCATCACAACACCGGCGCTGGGCTGGGGAAGGGGGCTGGGGGCCAGGGGGAGCCGGGGCTCCCCTGGCGAGGGCATGGCGCCCACCCGTGGGGCTTGGAGGGGCCGGAGGGGAGAGGTGATAAGCTGCACTGGGCTTGCTCCGCACAGCCCCTGGCCGCTGCTCAGGCTGAGGTCTTGGATGCGGTCCACTGGTGGGCCTCCTGCCAGGGGATTTGTTGCCGTGAGAGCTTGGCTTAGGCAGGGCTTTATTACAAAAATTGTCTCGATTCTTCTTCCGTCTTATTAAAATCTATCCCACCCTTCCCCACCACCCTAGGAGGAGGAATATTCTGTATATATCTGGGCGAAACACACAAACGAATTCATTTCCCACGGATAATATATTCAGGGTGATTTGCTTTTCAGAGTCGGGAGCTCAAAATGATGAATTTATTATGCAAAGTAATAATTGCAAATCATATTGGCAAACTCCATTCCAGAAAAAAAAAGGGGGGGGGGGTATTAATATAACTAAAAGGATTAAAAAATACTGGCTGTTAACTTGGGGCTACTGCAGATATTTTAGGAGGTTATATATCTTTGTTCCACCTAAACCACCAGAGGCAGTAGCTTTAATTTTAAAGGTCTAGTGAGATACCGTAATTAATGGGCCCACCTATCAGCATATGTCGCACTTGTATTGAGTGGTAGGACATGGTGTATATAATGAAAGAAAGTGAAGGAAACGCTTAGCGTCATAAAAATTAGCATCTCTTTTTAGTTCATTTTTTAGTGCAAAGGAATTAAATACATCAGAGTCAAAGCACAAAAACAATGGACTCTAGTTTTTGGGTCGGCTCAGCCTGTGCCTTCAGCAGGGTAACTGTGTGGTGTATGTTGATTTTCCAGATCCTTCTGGGATCCTAAAGGCTGCAATTACAGTCCCTTGGAGCTAAGTGCTGCTTCCTAAGGGCTGGAGCAGTGGGTGAACCCAAGGGCAGGGGGCCCTTCCACCTTGTAGCTGCCCGCATGCTCCCTCACCAATTTGGTCCTTCGTGGTCAGCAGCAGAAACAGGCCCTAGCAGTTGTCAGGGTTGATGACTGTGATGTAGCACTTGTCAGCCACATGGGATTTGTTCTGCTGGATCTGTACATTATGTCAGGATTCTCAAAGGATTAATTTGTGATCATAGTCTTCTTCATGAAAAGCACAGTTCTCTGCTGCTATAGAATCATTTTCATCTCTGGCACACATGTCCCATTAGGAAGTACTCTGCAGTTGATTATATTTTCTGGGATAGTTGAGATTTGTGGGTAATTACGAGAAAATAAAGATAACGTGCTTGTAAATCTTGCAAGTAATAGTTGCAGTACTAATGCTGTAATTCATAGGCATTGCACCATTAGAAAGTGATGGAGCTTGTTAAATTAAAATGCTAGTGATGTTTTTAACATACTTTCATGAAAGCATGATGATCTGAGTGCAAAGCGGGATTCAGGTGCTCCACAAGTTGCCTTTCTGGCTCTGGCACACTCACTGGCTGCGCACTTGAGACAGTCCTCAGATGAGGGTGATAGCTATTTAGCATTTGCAAGGGACTTTGAAGACATGGGAGCTGTGGGAGTTTACACACCATGGCAAACTGAGAACAAACTGTCTAACGCTTATTTCCTCACATCTTTTCTTCTAACGTGCCTTACCAACAGTCATTGCTATGAAAGGAGTGTTCCACCTTGTGGAAAAGGAGTCACTGGAGGAAAAGAGGGACAGTGGAGATGTTTAATGTGTAAACACTGAGCTTATGATCAACAGTGTCTTCATTGAACAACAAACTTGTGTTTTGCTTTTCAAGCAGAGCAACAGAGACCATTCGGTTCACAGATTATTACTCGGACCCCAAGACCAGCATGCCTTAGGACTAACCAAGAGGAGCAGTCTGCAGCCTCCAGCCTTGCCCACCTCACCCAGCCTGCAGTATCCGTAGCAAGAGCCAAGGTAAACATATTCCTTGAATGTCACAACACATTTCTTCCAGACAGTAGTCAGACTGTGCTTTGGTCCTGGTCCTGCCAGCCAGGTGAGGACACAGACCTTCCCACTACTGTGATATGCATCGATTACAATTAAACTTGTAAATGAAACTGGAAAAGAGAATGGGAACTCAGCAAACCAAACCAAACCAAACCAGTCATCCAAATTCACCTTTCTTAGTGCATGTAGGGCTATGCTTGTAATCAGCCGTCCCCCCCCCTTTTCATTTTTTTTTTTAACAATTTGTAAAATAAGTTTGTTTCCTGAGAAACACTGGTTGATAGCCAATCACCAGAAAAACTTTACCATGCTGGCTGTGGTGGTGTTTTGATATCCTATGAAAGTTTCCTGCTGCTCCACTGTATGTTTTTAGCAAAATTGCTATCATGGCCAATGACATAAGGAGCAAGGAATGAGGTAATAGGACCTGAATTAGTGAGAAGACATAACTCTAACAAAATATATCCCTTAACGTTTAGCATCACAAATAGTTATAGCTGAAGCCTATATAAGGGCAACAGATATGTCTTATTTCCTGCTAAGGTGCAACATGGTAAGGCAAAGATAACTGCAGAGGCTCCAGTGCAAGCAGAAAATGCTCAGATTAAAAACCATGCTGGTGGCACCCAAATTGCATTAAGATAATAATATAAAAGCAGAAAGTCAGCTCTGCATTTCCTTGTTAGGGGCTAAAATCTAATTTGGAGGCTTTGACTGTCTTGACTGCCTGGGAACCTGAAGAATCATCTCAGCAGGATTTTACCTAATTTCATCCTTTTAAATGTTTGGCAGCCTAGACTGCCTCTACCACCAGTGAGGAGAGAGAGAGATGTCCATGAGTCGGTTCAGCCCCTGGGATGCTGATGTCTGAAGACACCAAGGAGGTGTCTCTGAGGCTGGCCCCCGGTGTGCAATCCCAAAGGAATTGAGATTGAAGGAGCAACCTGTGGAGCAACCTACCCAGCACCTCCAGCTGGGTTCAGAGCACCTGGCAGAAGCACCCACTCACTTGGCAGCCCTGCAGTCTCACATGTGTAGGTCTTATATCCCTTTCTCTTTGTTTCCCAAGGAACTTAGAAGGGATCACTGTTTTCTGTTAAAATAATTCTGGAAGAGGAAGTGGACAGTGGTCATGCCTGCCCCCTCTTCGTAGTGCAATAGCTGTATTGTCAGCACAATCACAGCCAGGGGGACACGTGGGTCCCATTTCCCCTTCTGCCTTGGGGGATGCAAACCCATGTTTCCCACCCTGTGGGAAAATAACTGTGGTCAAGGAGAGGATTTAGGATTTGCAGAGCCAGTGACTAAAGATGAAAGGAAGTGTGGCTCCAGGGCTCTGGGCATCCTCTTGGCTTCACTCTCAGCTCACAGGATTGTTTCTGTCTTTTATTTAAAGACCCTTTCATGTGAGCAAAGAGTGGGGAGGCACAACGGGGCAGGTCCATCACCTTCTGATAACCTGAAGACTGAAATCAACTCTCTGCGTAGACTGTGCCTCCCAAATAGGTAGGAAATGCATACATTTTCATATGAATGAAAAGTGAAGAGATTAGGACTGTGCAGTTTAAAGAGATGTGTGAGAAGGGATATAGTAGCATTATTCAAGATAGTAAATCATGCCAATAAGGTAAAACAGGTTCTTCTGTTTATCCACTCAAGAACACGAAGTTTACTGAAGCAGAATGGAAAAAAAAAATCTAATAAAAGTAGATATTTCCTTTTTTTTTTTTTTTTTTTTTTTTTTTAAACAAAAGCAGTAATTAACCTGGTGAACTCATTGCTATTAGGTATAATTTAGGCCAAGAGATTAACAGGATTCAAAGGGGATTAGACATCTATATGCACAATGAAAATATCCATAAGCTACAGTGATCTCAAATTCTTTTATAACGTAGCTTGCCTCTTAATACTAAGCGAGTACCGTGTACCAACTTCTGTCTAGTCAAGGATCTTGTGGAGCACCTCTCTTCTTCCAGGAACTTTACACATGATCTGTACAGCCAACACTCACCTGCCTCCAAAAACAACCAACTAGACAACTACTAAAATATAGTATACACTTCTATAATGCTGAATGCTGCTGTAATATGGAAGCAGCCTATATTACTTACAGAGAACAGTGAATTTACAAACTTATATGATACCTGTGTACTTGTAAAACTGATATTCTTACCCTGTGAATGAAATTTAGCCTTGTTAAACAAAGAGAGGGAGAAGCCCAATGGAACCATTTCCATAGCAGGCAACCCACATCAGTGAGGGTCTGATTTCCAGCCTTCAGTGTAGTCTTTCTTGGAAAAGAACAAGCTCACAGGAATGGTCTGTATAAAACAGTTCTCTTCCAATAATGCAATGAAAGAAACACCTACCAAATTCTCCATGTGTGCATTTCATGCAGGCTGAGGTTAAACTGCTCTTTTTCCACACAGTGTAGTACAGTGCAAGATGGTGCTTGAAAAATCAGAGAGTACTTCTGGAAATTAGGGCTGTTGTCATCTACAGGGTCCTTCTTCTTCCATTTTACACACTCAGTAAGAAATAAATAAGATGGCAATATCTTAAAATAACTGCCAAGGTTTTATAATTGGTTTTAGTTTGTAGAAGAGCATAAAAGTTAAAGAAAGACTCGTAGATTATGTAAATACAATAGTTATTTACTGCTTGTGGTAGATTCTACATTGCCAAATGTAGGATCAGAATTGCATTTAATTTACAGTCTTTTTTTTTTTTTTTAAATTTATTATTATTATTAATTTTATTGTGCTGGTCCCCTGAGCAGTGAGCCATCTATCCCTTCCCATTCAGTCAGGGTGAGAAGAACACCTAGTTTCCAGGATTGTGCTGAACAAGTTGTTTTAATGCTGTGAAATCCTAAAAAGTCTCACCTTGCTGCCAGAGCCACTGTCCCATAATCTCAAATTCAGAGAAACCATCCCTTGACCTGCATGTGCACCAAGACGAGTTTAGCATCAGCTGGGTGCCTGAGTGCCCTTCGGCCACTCAGGTATTGCCAAAGCTTTTGCAGTCAAGAGATGTTCAATATCTCAAGTGTTGGGGATTAGAGAAAGTGTTTCTTAGTTAAAGCTCTTTCTGCCAACTCAAATTTACCAGCTAAATTTAGT